GAATAAAAGTTTGCAATAGATATTAAAATAATTCAACGATATTAATAGAAAGGTGCACACACATGCATTTACATATGTATGTACATACAAACGAGCACCAATTAATTTTATTTAAAGAAATGGCGTGTCGTCTATTTCCGGTGTAGCAAACGTAGTACATAGGGCGACATCTAGATGTCATCTACCTCGCCCTATTCACTATGCTTTTTTATAGGAGCTTTTCAAAGCTTTGCTTTATGGTGTCGGACACACAACATTGAAAGTTTCTGGAACACAACATTGAAAGTTTCTGGAACACAACATTGCAAGTTGATAAAAGCGTTGTAAAAAGGCAAAAAATATAATCTTAAGCAAAGGCAGATGCATATATCTATGTACATATGTAGTATGTATCTTGGTTAAGAGACAAAATAGATCTCTAACGTAAGTTTCACTTCTCCAGTATGGCCAAGGCGCGCTTACTGTTTTCGATAAAAAAAAATAATCGTTATTTTTCAATTTTTAACCGTTATAATGAAGACTACATTTATGACCCTTCATAAATCCTTTATGATTTAAAAAACTAAATCTGAACGTAACAGTAATGATATGATCAAAAAAATAAAAATCCAAATATGGCGATGAAATTTTATGAGGAAAATATAAATTCAATTTGAATGGTCAAATTATGATTTTTATTATAAAGGTGCAGATAGCAGATGGAAACAGCAAGAAGAGAAAGATTTGGTTTCACTTAGCGTTTTATCTCGAAATCGCCAACCAAGAGGAAGAAACTTTTATTAATTGGGCTAAATATTTTCAAAATTGACCAGTGCTTATTGAAAATTTCTCAGTTATCACAAGCGATCCTACACATGTATGTACTATATAATGGATATTAGGAAATTGGACGCTAAGCAATATAAGCAGCCCAACCAAAATTGTGTAGCTCTCTTGAAATGGCCCACTAATATTGTTTATTATTCCAGCCATTCTCTGGACCAAATTTATGTCAGAGTAAAAGGCACGAACGCATTGCGGGTGTAATAAGTATGTACAATGTGCATAGAAGTACTCACATAAGCGGTCAAATGTATAAAATTGTAAGTGGTTTCTGAGTGGCTATGCAAGATCGGCGTTCGAAAATGTGGCCAAAAGCGTAAACACTCAGTTTTTCTTAGCACTTTGGTGCGAACGGTTGCGCTAAATTCGAGAAATTGGTTGAAAAAGTGTCGGGCTGGAATAATAAGATCATATGTGTATTGTTTTTATTGAGAATTTAAGAAATCTAATTCAGCACTCAATTATTGATAAAAATATTAAAAATAATTGTGCAAACATTTGAAACTCCTTTGTTTATATAGGCATATGCATGAATATTTGTTTTGGCCATACATTTTGATATACATCCATATATATATGTATTTGTTTGTACATATGTAACGATCGGCATAAATCAAAGCTGAATTGATCAGTAAATATTTAAACAGGAACATATGTTCGTTACCAAAAGTGTGTATGTACATATGTTGGTCCATACGCATGCGGTCTATTTGTGGTCGAATGAGTTCATGCCAATTCTGATCGAGCACTTCTTCGTGAATTTTTGGAAATTTAATAAAAAATTATAAAAATTTACAGATCCTTTTAAGTGGTTTTTCTTCGCTACAATTCGCGCGCATGGTCCACTCAATCGTCAACAGCGAATTCCAGCGAAAGTGTAGTGCCTTGCAACAGAAACTTATCACATATATTGATCGTGTTTCAGCACCACTTACCATGGAGAATGTTCGCTTTTCCATTATTGTAAGATTTCAATTGCTTTCCCATTGAATCCTTTTATGAATACATATTTAGTGCCTACCAAAACTATTTGCTTTCGAATAGCATACAATTTTCATTACTCAAATACACTTCACACATTTATAGGAGAACGATCTCAAATGGAATTCGGAGTGCCATGAAACACACGATCTCTTCTTCGACAAGCGTAGCATCTCCAGCGAGAGTAGCAACAATAGTGATGCGGTCTTTAGCGATGAGGCGCATGAGATATTCTTGTGGCAACAACAACATCAAATGATCTGGGATCAGCACGAAATCGAGGAGACACTTAGTCTGGTCCCCAATTCGCATGCCATATTCGCAATGGTCAAAACAAATTGTTTTCAAGGTTTGATTTTTTTTTTGTAAAATTTCAAACAAAAATTCTCCATTAAAAGGGCCTCTAAAATAAATATTCTAACCCTAGAACTTATACCCGGCTCCAGTGATGCCAATTTGGCGCTACTCTATGCCTCTATCTATGGTTGTGTGGAGAATATTCTTGCTCTACTCGATCAGTATGCCGCCGATCCGAATTGCAAGGACATACGCGGCCGCACGCCTCTCCATTTCGCTTGTTGCCGCGGCAATGCACACTTCGCCAAAGTGCTATTGGACCGTGGCGCTGACCCGAATCGCTATGATGGCAAAAAGGAAGTTACACCCTTACATTGTGCGGCCAGGTTAGTCATACCGATTGGTTGTTGTTAGTGCTGCGCGTGTTGTTAGCGCATTGCTATTTCAAGCATTTTATTCACACCTCAGCGCAATAGTTGTAAACAAAAATAATTAGACCAACAACTTTTTGACGCGTTTGGAAAAGAAAACATTTAATTTCATTTAATTTTCTTTCCGTTTATTTATTTTTTTTCTCCGGCCTTGCTGTGATTGCCCGCGCGCGCGCCTATGCGATCACAACCACGATCACGATCACCACCACCCCATTTAATTTGGTTGTGCGCTCGATTGCTCGATTGCGTTGAACCGTCGCGCGGTGGTAGCGCTAAGAGCGTGGAATGCATTTTGCTGCTTTTGAAACGGAAAGCGCACATCAATATTGGCATTGAGAAGCGTTCGGCGTTGCATTTCGCTATCGATCGCAATGCGGTTGAGTGTGTGGAGATATTGCTTAAATATGGCGCGGATCCCAATACGCCACAGGTAAATAGTGAGACATTAACATAACACTAATTTTCCCAGTTATGCGCTCGCTACTAATGAAACACGTATGTATGTATTTTTTTCATATCTCAGGTCTACACGGAAACGCCGCTGCATACAGCTTGCGCACTGGGCTTCAGCAAATGTGTGGAATTGCTATTGAATCATGGCGCGGATGTGCGCTCACAATTCGGCGAAGGGAAATTGACAGCCTTGCACTTGGGTATGTTTTGTGTTCACTGTTTAACAGCTGCAAATTTTCACTGTCTATTCACACAAAACAAATCCGATACGAGTTTCTTTCCCGCGTAACTGTTGCTTTCTCTCATCCATCCCCTTCAGCCGCTGAGAATGATTACGTTGAATGTGTACGTTTGCTGTTGGAACATGGCGCTGACGTCGATTGCCGTAACGCCAGCCATCAGACCCCATTGCATTTGGCCTGCCTATCACAATCCATCGAAACGGTTGACATGCTGATCAAACATGGCGCCAATGTGAATGCAATCTATAGGGATGGCCGCACAGCTCTACATGCTGCGATCGTTAAGCAATCTCGAAGTTTGGACTGTTGCAATGCCTTGTTGAAGGCGGGTGCCAATGTCAACAAAGCAGATAATTTTGGCTATACACCGCTACATATCGCGGCCTTGAATGAGTTCAGCAATTGCGTGTACACTTTTATTGGTAAGTTTCGCATGATCAGGGAGATAGAAAATAATTAAACTTTAACCGTAATCGGTTGTTGATATGCGCGCACATATAAAAACTGGTTTTCCTATGGGAATTCGCTAATAAGAATCGTCGCACACTTCGAAATCGCATTATTGCGGAAGCTGAGTTCGAAAGCGTAAGTTCGGGTCATAAAGCGTCGGGTGAAGAATATGATGAAAAGGAAAATAAGCAATGTTCTCATAGCCACGGGTGATGAAACTCACGAATGTTGCAACAAGTCCCGGAGATGTGAAGGGTTGGTAGAGCATTATAACCCATTCTATCCTATCATAACTTATTAAATTAAATTATCTCACGGTTTTTCCTAGGGAATGGAGGGTCCTAGAACCACTCGAAGTATCGGAGGTGTGGTCTGAGCCCCCTGTGAAAGATGCTAATTTTCCCACATTTTTACTTTGCTTTGAAGGTTAAATCGTTTCTTTTTATTTGACTCTGTAACCGTTTTAGCGATTTTGGCCGGGTCCAACAAAGCACGCCAGTCGGTTAATCTTCTTGCTAACAGGCGCTAATTAGAAACACCAAGTAAAGCCAGTCCTTCTTCACATGGTCTTTCCAACACAGAGGAGGGCTACCTCTTCCTTCCATTCGTACGATAAGTCCTAACCAGCGCTACACAATTCCGTCGTCGCTAACGCACGGAGGCCTGTATATCTTCCACGGAATCTTTCTCTCGAATACTCCAAGGGCCGCCTCATCGGATGTTGACATTGTACATGCTTCATCGCCTTGTATTCGTACGATGAGAGGGGACTTCATATCCTCATTGCATACTCAGTCCAAAGTAGCACTTGTTGATATGGATTTCACTAACGTTAATGCTGGTTCAAAAGTTTTCGAAGTCCTCTACTACATCGCGCCAACGTGCTTTCAAATCGACAAATAGTTTGTATGTGCCGGTTTTTCTCTCGATATTTTTTTCCAAGTGGCAGACCTTTGTCTTCGGTTGCTTTGTTATATTGAGCCGCACTGTTCTTTTCGAATTTCACAATGGCCATCATCGATTGATGTGGCCAAATCTGGAAATCAGTCCCTATTTCGTCGTTCTTGTTCTCGTAAGCTGTCGAACTTTCTGCAAACGCATTCCGACGCTCTTTGTGCCGTGGTTAAGATCGGTATTTTTCTATCTATCTAAAAGGGTCAATACATTCCGGGTACCGGTTTTCCCGCTGTTACCGACGCGCAGTTGGAATATTTCGACGAACTTTTGTTCAAAAATGGCTGAAAGACTAAATTTTTTATCGCATTGAATTGGTTTTAAAAAACAAATCCGACTTTTTTTTACTCGGGCTCAGACAGTCTTTTCTAAAATCCGTTCCAAGTATTTCCAAGAAAAAATATACATATACGGATTGGCCAAAATTTGACTTCTCCGGCATTTCTTAAATAAAATCTGTAGTAAAATTTCCGCCGCGCGATGGGTGCACCCGACTAGGAACGTGTTAGAGGCAACTAAACCCTAGTCCTCGTTGGCTCGACCATGTCTAAATAGCAACTTTCCTGGGCTTATCGTTAGTTAAGCTTGCCGTTGTAGCAAAAACAAGAGAGAGTATGAGAGTTTTCATTATGAATATTTTCATATCTTACGAGCTTTACCGGAACAGTTATATGAAAAAAATGCATCAGCTGTCACAGTTGACGTAAGGCCCATTCTTATCTTCGGAGTTACAGTATGGTGCCGAATGCTGGCCAAAAATACGTCCAAAAGCAAAATGGAAAAAGTGCTTATCACGGTGGCCTTTACCTCTAACCACTGCAAAGCTCCTAACGCTCCCTCGGTCCTTCTAACCACACTCCTAAGTCTTGCGTAAATGACACTAGGCAAACAAGCGTTTTACCTGCCTACTTTGATAATTACAATCCCCGTTATGAGCGAATGGTGAAGTGAAAAAAGCTAGACGCTAGATCCATTTCAATCTTCAGCGATTATTTCGAGCTAAATAATAAAGTCGGCAACAACATCCATTCGGAAGAACTAGTTCTAAGCTGCTGCTGTCCTTTAGTAGAATACACCATCAACGTATGCTCCGAAGGCTTCAATTTAATATCTGCAGTGCAACAATACCTCTTCGAAGATAGCAATTCAATGACGAATGGTTCTAAGCGGCCACGCGATGCGTAAATAATATAGTCTGGGTTGTCGGGCTAAGAAACTTATTTGTAGTCGTTCAATTCTGCGCCAAATGCCATCAAGCAAACCATCTGCTAACGAACTACAGACATACATATCATCACTAGATCTGTCTTTATTGGAAAAGACAACCACCGGTGTGCGACGAATTAATGTAAACATATATGAGTCTCTAGTTCTCCTTGATCGTCTGTCTATTAGCTCAGAGTGTAGTTTCATCAACGGACATTGTTCAATGGAAATACACGAAGGCGTAAATGTTTTCCTCTAATGATTTCTACCGCCATTGCAGTAGAAGACGATAAAAAGCATCGAGCACTTTCTCTGCTACTGCACGACCTAGTTCTAAATACGACAACGTAATCTGAAGCACTTCATAAAGGATTGCCCAGCGGACTAATAATCCTTGCTAATTTGTATCTAAATACTAGGCCGTAGTATAAGAAATGCATTAATTTCTGGCATCGCATCAAAAAAAAGTACTTTCGAAGGAAAAGTCTTGAAATAAAGCACAAAATAGACTTTTAGGAAAATAAATAAAGTCAAAGGCCAGCATCATGAGAAAAAGCACTGTACTTTTAAATATAGTACGGATGGTCACCGTACCTATAGAGTTTTAGGCTTCCTTCGCCCTCTCTTGAAGGTCATTTCCTGATTTAATTTCAGGGTAAGAGCTGGATGAGCTGTGACAAACTTGTATCAGAAGAAGCATTTTGACGCACTTACATATGCAAGGAATCTGGTCAAGCGACCTGTGTCCTTTCTTGAACTTCACAAAGGTGGCATCATTACATCTCCTTCTGGAGTTTGAGGCCCTTTAAAGCAGAAGGGAGAGGGGTATAGGGCATCTATGGCTAAGAGAGGAACACTCCCGGCGTCATGTCTGAAATTTCTAGGGCTCGCTGAGGTGTTGCAATGAGCTGGGGATACAATAGATTTATCTATCCCTGTGGTATTAAAAATATCCAGGGGCCTAAATGAGCCCTGTAATATACTGCCACTATAACTTAAGCAATCTACTCTATATTGGACCTCATTCTCCTCTACTACTACGTGAGCTAGTTTCCGCTGGCATTCAATTTAGCAAACTAATAATTTGAATTTCTATTTTAACGAAACTAATATTTTCCTCTCCTCTCCTACTTATGTACTTCACAGAACATGGTGCTGATATAACAGCACGTACGATGGGTAATGTATCTGCTTTGTCATTCATCGTACGACGTACGCCAGAGATTATACCGAAACTTACGGCCAAAATGGACAATTCCATTAAAGTAAACGACCATGAAATCGGTGACGTTGATTGTGAAATCAAATTGGATTTTCGTCTCTTGGTGCCGCCTACTTCATTGGAACGCGGCGAAACTGAATTGCTGTTGTCATTGATCGAAGTTGGCCAGAAACGTTTACTTATGCATCCATTGTGTGAAACTTTTCTTTTTCTCAAATGGCGACGTATACGTAAATTCTTTCTGATGAGCCTCTTTTATCATGCTATCTATGTAATACTCTTCACAATGTATATTGTTGGTGTATATGCGCGCAATTGTGATAAGAATCCGAATTGTGAAGCTCCTGGATATATATGCACAGTGGGCTATTTTGTTATTATACTGAATTTAATATTAATGGGCAAAGAGATTTTTCAGGTAACTATTTACTAGATAATGCGTGATGATGTGTACAGTTGCTTATGAAAATATTTAGTTACTTTAACTGATGTACATATGTACGCGTAATTACAGATGGCTCACGGCTTACAAGGTTATGCGAAATATTGGGAAAATTGGTTGCAATGGGCTATTGTCTTCGGTGTATTGCTTTGTGTGGTGAGTCATTAGCGCAACGCTACTTTAAATGCTACCTAATTTTTCTACCTTTTTAGACGCCTGAAATTTTAGTGCCCAGTAATTTGTTGGCGGTGCCTATGTGGCAGCATCATGTGGCAGCCATTGTTGTGCTTTTGGTTTGGTTGGAGTTAATGATGTTGGTGGGACGTTTTCCGATATTCGGCGTTTACGTGCAGATGTTTACGAAAGGTAAGGATGGTGCAAAAACGCAGAAATAACAAAAAGATTGTTAGTTTTTTTTTACTTTAACTTTGGAACAAACGATTTAGGTAATTTCATTGTACATAATTGTCGGAATGAGGTTTTAAAGAAAATTGCAAATAAAGAGTATTGAATATAAGCCCTCGGTATGTATGTACATTAGGGTGGTCCAAAAACCCCATAAATAATAAAATCATTTTTTATTAAATCTAGAAAAATTCTAGGGTATGTGAGCTTAACATTGTAAACTTTTTTGGACCACCTTAGGCTTAGGAAAGCTTGATAGTGCCGTATCTTCTGAGAGATTGTTGCTTCTGTTGACATGTTCTGGGAAGAGGGCCCTCCGTCTGGGCAGAGATCCATTGGCATTAGGCTGATTAGCTCCAGAAATCGACCAGTAGCTGACTGAGCTTTATGAAGCGCTCATGCCTGGTTGATCTTCGTATGGGTTTTATTATTACACGAGAAGTGTGGTCAGAAGGTGCAGTAATCTCAGTACAAATTCTTAGCCAAAAGTTCAACTTCAAGTCGACACCGGTTGCCATGATCTCACAGCAATAATTATTTAGGCCAAAATGAATAAATTAAGAAGCTATATATAAATGTAAATATAAAAAATATAGAAGCAATTCTGGGACCCCCTAATGCACATCCATACGAACATGTGCAAACGTGATCCTTTCGCAGTTTTCGGACCGCACGCTTTCATTTGTCCGATTTCTTAGACGTTTTAAGCTCAAAATGTAATGTAATGACTGTAAGCGTTGTTTTTGGAGACGGTTTCCAATATGTATGTGGATTAGAGTGGACCAAGTTTTGTATGGAGGAAAAAAAAATGTCATCGAAGAAAACGGGGCACCGCCTTAGTTTTTTTCCTTTTGGTATTTTTAATATCTATACCAACTCAATGAGCTTGATCGCTTTGAAACTGACAAAAATATTGGCGAAAGCTACTGTTGTCATGACAACTGACGCTTGTTATATTTTTTTAGCCAATTTAAATTTGAAATGTTCTTAGGTTGCTTAACCAATCGTTTGGTTAATATAGGTACAAAATATTTCCAGAGTAATAAATATTAACATTACATGGGCATCCACTAAATCTATACTTAGAAACATATAAAGTTCGGTGCCAGCACCTCTTTCGGCAAGAAAAAAAATTTTGGAAGGTGCCCCAAACCCTATCTCGGAAAATTTTTGGAGCTCTCTAATGTACATTTATATGTGTATGCTTACCTATATGTGTGTATGTATGTGTATTAGAAGCTCCAACTGAGGAGGTTAGCGTGATCCGCACGCAGCTTAGCTTGTGATCGATTCGCTATTAATTTTCAGCCGCAAGGTAAATCATTTAAATGGCACTATAATTTTTTAAGGGTACACGCTTGCGTACACACGTTTTTATGTACATATACACCTTTGCATTTGTTCTTAACAAAATTCATGACCAGATTTCTTACTGGGTCTCTTTGCATTATCTATTATTTCCCAGTTGCTGGCAATTTTTGTAAATTTTTATTGGCCTACATCTGCTTGTTAATCGCCTTTTGCCTCAGCTTCTCAGTGCTGTTCAACGACTATCCACCATTCGAAAATATAACTTGGTAAATATTTTTTAATAATCTCTATATGGAAATAATGTTAAGAATAAAAACAAATCACCATCTCTTTTCTTAGGTCACTACTCAAAGCCATCACTATGATGTCCGGTGAATTAGAGTTCGAAGATATATTTTACGGCGATGCACCAGTGAAATTTCCTGTCACCTCACACATTCTGTTTCTCTGCTTCGTACTACTCGTCACCGTTATACTCACCAATCTGAT